CCTGTGAGCATCCAGTCAAAGCTAATAATTACATTAGTCACATTGAGTTGGATTTATAGAGGTTTGTTAAATCTAATTTACAACACAATTTCCATGCAGAAATGTAACTACATGTCATTTCCTCCTTCTGGAATGACTGAATAAGAAGCGGACCAGTTGCAACACTGGCACTTAGCTCAAATGAAAATGCTGGCTAACTGTGTTGCCTGTTGCACAGGCTATACCATAGGCGCTATACAGACTGAACACAGAAGTGTAAATTAAACTTAAAACAAAAACAAGATTTTATTCTTAATAAGAACAAGATCCAGGGAAAAGTCGGCCAGGTACAACTGGCGTAACTATGCAGTCATAAAAAGTGATCACACTTTCTTCAGAGTCTCAAATCGCTGCAGAAGTCCTGTGTTTTTCTTAGAAACACAGAAACACTCTCCATCTCCTGCTGCTTATCTATCAGGCATGGTCACAGCAGGGCCAGAGAAATACATCAAGGGCTGATGTGTTTGTGTTTTCACACTGGTGTCAGGCAGTGGTGAAATATCAGGAGCAGCATGGATTAAAAGCATCAGCTTGAATGTCCAAAATGTAAACTTTGAACCGTAAGAATCAGAGCTGATAAAGCCTGCAAACTCCTGCAGCATGTTCTTCTGCCAAATCAAGACGGAGACCATCTGGTTTCTATAGCTCTACAGAGTGAAAACACATTCTCCACAAGCAGTCCAACACACTCGACGCAGTGGACACTCTCGAATGCTGATAACCTCCCAGATAGCTATACTTTCTAAAAAATACTTTGAGTAATCTTTAGCCTTCTTTATATTCACACGGCCTAAAAAAGTGAGCACCAAAGAAAAATCAAATTCGAACGAGTCTTTGTTGGTTTTCAATACAAAACCATTTGGAAAGATTTATAAGAGGAAAAAAGGGATTGGGTGATTACGGGCTTCTTGGGGCTGATTGCACATTCCTTTTTGGGATCTACATGAAGGCAGGACAACTGGAGGAACGTTTCACTCGATTAGCAAAACAATCTGAAAGGGATTTACTGTATTACTTTTATAAAAATATACTCGTTGCAGTGTAATTACCCCTCGATACAAAGATAAATGCAGAATGCAAAACTCCCAAAAAAGGTTATAACTAAAGTACAACTCTGTTTTCTGTTTCCCTGAACTCTTTCAAGCCGTTTCTAGCTCAGTTTCTAAGAAGTCCGTGCATGCATGACGAGTTTATGTGTTATATCACTGTGATACATCTATGAACAGACTAGTTCAACCAAGCAGGGAGGGGGGGGTCCAAGTTATTCCACCAATAACTAGACTTTAAACCTCATGTTTAACAGTCTCCTTAGACAATGCAAAGTCTTGAAGTAATTCACAATTTTTTTCTAAGCTCTGCACAGTTTGCTCCAGGGAGGGTGCAGCTACATATCTCCAAACTGAAACTATCCAAGTAAGTCCCGAAACAACCACAAAGCTGGCAACAATTACTGCACCCGTTAAAAATAATTATCAATTTAATATTTTGGTATAAACATTAACCCACTTTGTGGCATTAGAGAGAGTTCAGACTGAGAGTAACCCCTGCAAAAACACTCCTTTATTAGTTTCAGTTGCTCCAATGTGTTACACAGCAGGTATGCAGACATTAGGGGGGCTCTGGAGAAAACACAAGGTTATTAAGCAGAAAAGTTAAACCCTTTGCTTAAACCTGAGCAACATCCACCTGCAAGGCACTGCTGTGGTCATTCAGACTAATGTAAAAGCCACCATAACAGCATTAACAAACCGCACAGATATTTGAAACCACAGGGCAGTCTTTTACCACCAGATGAGATTTAAAATCCATGATATAATAAATTTTTCTTCATAGTACTCAGTCGCCTTTAATACCACCCCAGCAGGGAAGCACCGCCTACAAGACTCCAAATATATTATGTTTGTCTTTTCTAGTGTGGAAATTGCCTTGATAACCCCAGTTAGTGTCATCCGTCACTGCTCTTCAGACAAAATACAACATTTAAAGACGCCACACAACCCCCCTCAAAAAAAATACAAAAAAA